AGAAGACTTAACAAATTTAAGAAGACTGAAATCATATCAAGTTTCTGACCACAATGAAATGAAACTAGAAATCAGTAGCAGCAGGAAAATGGAAAAATTCACAAATATGTGGAAATAAAACCACACACTCTTAACCATTTGATCAAAGGAGAAATTTTTTAAAATTATAAAATACCAAAGACAAACAAAAACATAAAATATCAAAATCTATGGGATATGGCAAAAGCAGCACTAAATAGTAAGCTCATGGCATTAAGTGTCTACAGTAAGAAAGAGGAAAGATCCCAAACCTAATTTATACCATAAGAGCTAGAAAAAAGAGAACAAAACAAACCCAAAGTTAGCACAAGGAAGAAAACAACAAAGATTGCAACGAAAATTAATAAAATAGAAAAATGTAAAACATTAACACAACTAAGTTTGATTTTTGAAAAGATAAACAGAATTGACACCTTTTAGCTAGACTAAGAAAAATTGAAAACTCAAAATCTGAAATGAAATAATGCCACAAAAATAAAATATTATAAGAGATTACTATAAACAACTACATACCAACAAACTGGATAACCTAGAAGAAATGCACTAATTCCTAGAAACATACCACCTAATGAAACTAAACATGAAAAAAAAATAAAGCCTGAGCAAACCTGAAACTAATATGGAGATTGAATCAGTAATCAAAAACCTCTCAATAAAGAAAAGCGTATATCCAAATGGCTTCACTGGTGAATGTTATTAAATATTTAAAGAAGAATTAGTGCCAAGTCTTCTCAAAATCCTTCTTAAAAACTAAGACGAGGGAACATTTCCAAACTCATTTTATGAGGCCAGGATGCATATTCTTGATACTAAAGCCAGACAATGACAATTGCAGGCCAATATCCCTGATGAATCTAAACACAAACATCCTCAACAAAATACTAGCAAACTGAATCTAACAGTATATTAAAAGGATCATACGCCATGAGAAAGTGGGCTTATTCTTGGGATGTAAGGATGATTCAACATATGAAAATCTATTAATGTGATATACCCATTTATAGAATAGAGGGTAAAATAATCATCTCAATTGACACAGAAAAAGCATTTGACAAAATTCATCACCCTCTTATAATAAAAACTCAATAACCTAGGAATAGAAGGCCTCAACACATTACCTCAAGATTATAAATGCCATATGAAAAGCCTACAACTAATATTATACTCAGTGATGGAAAACTGAAGACTTTTTCTCTACGATCAGGAACAAGGCAAAGAAGCCCATTCTTGCCTCCACCATTCGAAGGGATTCAAATTGGAAAAGGAGAAGTAAAATTGTCCTTGTTTGATCAGAAAACATGAACTTATATATTAAAAAATTCTAAATACTGCATTTTTTAAAACCGTTAGAACTAATAAATGAATTCAGTAAAGTTGCAGAATACAGGATACACAATCAACATACAAAAATCTATTGCATTTCTATACACTAAAAGCAAACACTCTGAAAAGGAAATAAGAAAACCAATCCCACTTATAATAGCACAAAAAAGTGTACAATACATAGAAATAAACTTATCTAAACCAGGCATGGTCGCACACACATGCTGTCCCAGCTACTCAAGAAGGTGGAGTGGGAGGATTGCTTGAGTCCAGGAGTTCAAGGCTACAGTGAGTTATGATCATGCCACTGCACTCCAGTCTGGGCAAGAGTGAGACCTTGCCTTTAAAAACAAACAAACAAACAAAAACTTATCTAAGGAAATGAAACACTCATATTCTGAAAACTGCAAAATATTGATGAAAAATTAAACAAGACACAAACAAGAAATTAAACAAATGGAAAGATTTTTCATGTTCATGGATTAGAGAAATTAATAGTTAAAATGTCTACATAGCCCAAAGTAATCTATAGATTCAATGCCATGCCTATCAAAATCGCAATGGCATTTTTTTTACAGAAATAGAAAGAACAATTCTAAAATTCATATAAACCCACAAAAGATGACAAATAAATTAATCTTGAGAAAGAATAACAAAGCTGGGGTCATCACGTTTCCTGATTTTAAATATATCACTATAGCTACAGTAATCAAAACAGTATAGTACTGGCACAAAGACAGATATATAGACTAATGGAACAGGCTAGAGAGTCCACAAATAAATCCATTCCTATATGGTCAACTTGAACCTTGAGAAGGGTGTCAAGAAAACACAATGGAGGAAAGATAGGCTTTTCAACAAATGGTGTTGGGAAAATTGAATATCCATATACAAAAGAATAAAAGTGGACCCTTATCTTACATCATATAAAAATCTCAACTCAAAATGGATTAGAGATTTAAGCATAAGATCCCAAAATGTAAAGCTCCTGGAAGAAAACATAGGGGAAAAACTTCATGACATTGGTCTTGGCAATAATTTTGTGAGTATGACACCCAAAGCACAAGTAACAAAATGAAAATACACAAATGGGACTATCTCAAACTAAGAAGCTTCTGCACAGCAAAGGGAACAATTAACAAAGTGAAAAGGCAACCTGTGGAATGAGAAAAAATATTTCCAAACAACTTATCTGAAAAAGCAGTTAACCTCCAAGATATACAAGGAACTCTTACAACTCAATAGTAAACAAACAAACAAAAAAACAAATAACCTAATTTTTAAAAGGATTAAGAGCATGAATAGATGTTTCTCCAAAAGAGATGTACTAATAGTCAATGGGTATATGAAAAATGTGTAACATCACTAATAATCAGAAAAATGCAAATTAAAATCAAAATGAGATATCACTCTACACCTGTTAGGATGGCTATTGTCAAAAGAAAACAAACCAAAAAAAGACAGTGTTAGTGAGAATGTGGAAAAACTTGAGCCCTTGCAACCACTGGTGGGTATGCAAAGTTGTTCAGTTAATATGAAAAACAATATTGAGATTCCTTAGAAAATTAAAAATAGAACTATCATATGATTCAGTGATCCCACTCTGGGTACCGATCCAAAGTAACTTCAGTCAGGATACTGAAGAGTATCCTGAGCACTCCCAAAGTTCATTGCAGCTCTATTTACAATAGTCAAGATATGGATACAATCCAAATGTCCCTTAAGAGATAAATAAAGTAAATGTGGTATATTTATTCAATGGAATAGTACTCACTCTTAAAAAAGAGATTCTGCAATATGTGACAGCAGATAATTCTCCCAAAAAATGGGATATTAGGGCTGGGCACGGTGGCTTATGCCTGTAATCCCAGCACTTTGGGAGGCCAAGGTGGGCAGATCACCTGAGGTCAGGAGTTCGAGACCAGCCTGACCAACATGAAGAAACCCCATTCTCTACTAAAAATACAAAATTAGCCAGGTTTGGTGGCACATGCCTGTAATCCCAGCTACTCAGGAGGCCGAGACAGGAGAATCACTTGAACCCAGGAGGTGAAGGCTGCAGTGAGCTGAGATCTCACCATTGCACTCCAGCCTGGGCAACAAGAGCAAAACTCTGTCTCAAAAAAAAAAGGGATATCAAGACACATTCCATAACTCTAGCAATAACACTGGCCTCTTGGTTCAGGGAAAAATAAACCACGGGAACAGAATAGAGAATACTTACAGCCAAGAAACACAATCATGAATATATGGAAATGTTATATATCACAAAAGTATAACTACAAGTTAGGGAGAAAATGGGAATGTTCTAAAAATGGTAGGTGGGATAGGAAAGGAGGAAAAGTGAGACTCAGAAGAGGTCCACAGGGAATTTCTGCTATATCTGCAATTTTTTTAATGTTTTTTTTAACCCAGTACCACAACTGCTATGTAATGTTGTTTGTATGCATGTATGTATGTATGTTAAAAAAGAAAAAGGAAGAGGAGGAGAAAGACCTACCGGAAATGTGGCCAAATGTTAAGATTTGCTAAAATTAAATGCCGTAATTGTGTATTATTTTTTATACCTGTGCTGTCTAACACTGTAGCATAGCTACATGTAGCTATTTAAATTAATTAAAATTAAATAAAATTTAAAATTCAGTTCCAGTGTCCCAATAGCCACATTTCAATAGTCACATGTGACTGGTGGTTACTAAACTGGACAAGGTATAGTTTGAACATTCTCAACATCACAGAAAGTTCTACTGGACAGAGCAGGCCTATACATTTTTATAGGTTTGATCATTCATAATAAAAATCAACAAGGAAGAATAAAAGCCTGCAGTATACATTATGATGAGTTAAGAAAATAAAAGGAACTTAAGTAAAAAGGACATCATCTAGTTCATATAAAAGTTATCTTTTTTTTTTTTTTGAGACATAGTCACCCTCTGTCACCCAGGCTGGAGTACAGTGGTGTGATCTGGGCTCACTGCAACCTCCACCTCTGGGGTGCAAGTGATTCTCCTGCCTCAGCCTCCTGAGTAGCTGGGATTGCAAGTATATCATCATGCTCAGCTAATTTTTGCATTTTTAGTAGAGACAGGGTTTTGCCATGTTGGCCAGGCTGATCTCAAACTCCTGGCCTCAAGTGATCTGCCCACCTCGGCCTTCCAAAGTGCTAGGATTACAGGATGAGATAATATGAGGGGCCACACCTGGCCCCTCTTTACTGTCTGGACTGTCAGATCTTTACCTCTCCTGAAATTTCCCAAAGCAAAGGGGAAACAAACTCTTTGTTGTATTTCCTAGACACTATTTCCTTTACTTTCAGGTTATTTTACCCATGTTTTCCCTTGAGACAAGGTCTGGCTCTGTTGCCCAAGCCAGAATGCAGTGCCACGATCTTGGCTCACTGCAACCTCCGCCTCCTGGGTTCAAGCGATTCTTGTGCCTCAGCCTCTTCAAGGAGCTGGGATTACAGGCACACATCACCACACCCAGCATAATTTTTTAATTGTTTGTAGAGATGAGGTCGCACTACATTGCCCAGGCTGATGGGTTATTTTAATATTTGGTAGAAGCAAGCCACTGTTTTACTTTCATATGAGTATAAATGCTTGGGAGCTGCTCTGTGAAAATGACAGTTTTCCCACCTTTGGCTTTAATGACCATGATCTTTTGCTGCAGGTCGATGAAGGGCTGGATCAGGCAGAGCCGCGGTTCCTGCTTCTGACTCAGGCAAACACCGTTGTGATTCACAACCATCCAGCTCCGGTCATACAGCAGCCCTTGGTTTCCTACAGGCCACCTGGTCACCTAAACAAAAAGGTAGGTGTGTCTTAGGCCAGGGCTTCCCCAAAGATGGTCTTCACCTATTTGCATAGTGGTTGTACAAACACAGACGGACTTCATGAATTCAGCAACTACTCCGGAAGGAAGAAAGAGGGGAAGAGAAGAAACAAACAAAGAGGACAATGCAAAGGAGATGATGTGGGAGCTACATATCTCCCATTCAGCCTCCAGGTCCACACTCCACCCTTCTCCACTTCAAATCATGTTTTAAGTAGGTAATGCCTGTACAGCCAGAGAGGACAAGAGTCTGCAGTGAAAAGCAAGCCTCCTTTCCCAGCTGGTTCCAGCCATTGCTCTTGTTTTTTGTTTTTTCCTTGTTTGTTTGTTTTGTTTGTTTTTAAGACAGAGTCTTGCTCTGTCGCCCAGGCTGGAGTGCAGTGGTGCAATCTCAGCTCACTGAAACCTCCACCTCCCAGGTTTAAGCTATTCTCCTGCCTCAGTCTCCTGAGTAGCTGGAATTACAGGTGCCTGCCACCATGCCCAGCTAATTTCTGTGTTTTTAGTAAAGACAGGGTTTCACCATGTTAGCCAGGCTGGTCTTGAACTCCTGACCTCAAGTGATCTGCCTGCCTTTGCCTCCCAAAGTTCTGGGATTATAGGCATGAGCCACCACACCCAGCCCTTTGCTCTTGTGTATCCTTCCTTAGCAGTGGTGCCTATCCAGGTATTTCAAAATAGTACAGAAGTATTTCTCTACTAAAAATACAAAAAATTAGCCAGACAAATTGCTTGAACCTGGGAAGCGGAGGTTGCAATGAGCCGAGATCACATCATTGCACTCCAGCCTGGGCGACAAGAGAGAGACTCTGTCTCAAATAAAAAATAAAAATTAAAAATAAAATAAATAAAGTGAGTAGAGCCAAGTGTGGTGGCTCATGTCTAGAATGCCAGCACTTTGGGAGGTTGAGGCAGGGTCGAGGATCACTTGAGGCCAGGAGTTTGAGACCAGTCTGTTCAACATAGCAAGACCCTGTCTCTAAAAAGAAATGCAAATTAAAAAGTAGCCTGGCATGATGATGTGGGCCCATAGTCTCAGCTACTTAAGAGGCAGAGGCGGGAGGATAGATTGAGACCATGAGTTCAAAACTGCAGTGAGCTTTAATGACACCACTGTACTCCAGGCTGGGTGAGAGAGTGAGATCTCATCTTGCAAAAATAATAATAATCAAATGAATAAATGAATAAAGTGAGTAGCAAGTAAGAAACCTTTCAGCACAGAATAAAGCTTTCCTGAGAAACTAGTTTTAAATTGTTTCCTCAAAAAGACGCTGGCTTTTTCAAAGACCAAAAAAAGCAAGGTACAAACGTTCTTCCTGGTGGTGTGTTTCTCTAAAAGAAAAAAAAGAGCTAATATTAAATTTGATAGAGTCTGCTGATGGAAAAAAATAAAACCATCAGTTAGGTGGGTATAGGTATCAAAAGCTGCCATCACAGAATAACAAGATGCATTGACTGTTTCTAACTTTGCTTGTTTTCCTTCCAACAGGGTCTCTGAAGTGCAGTTTCCCAGCCTGCAGCTGACCTGTACAAGAGGTGTACCGGCCCCACTAGGGGCTCCTCCTGCAGCTCCTTCCACCACACCTCTGGGTTCACCTCTCACAGATGCGAAACCTTATCACCCCATCCTGCTTTTGCGAGATGGTGAGATCCTGAACTGATGGAGATGATGTTCTTTGGATTGACCATTCTGGCAGGAACAGTCAGCTGTGGAGCAATAGAAGCAGCTTCATGCAGTTGTGAGAAGGTCCCAAGCTTAGAAACAGTGGCCCACATCGAAGAAAGGCTGCAGCATCCTCACAAGATGTCATGGTGGTTTCCTAAGCCATCGGTGGTTTAATTGGGGATTTAGCTGGGGATAGTCAGCTGGGGGTCACATTTCTGTAAGTTTCATTCATCCCTTCCACTTATTTCCTAGGCTACTAGACCAATTCACTTTCATCTCATTTCTTCTTTGAACCTTTATTTTAGCAAGGATGTACTTTCTTTCAATGCAGAATTAGTCCAATTGCGGTTCTGCTGGCTTCTTGCCCCTGGCCTTTGAAGGAGTGGTTGTCCACAAGTTAGGTTTTAACAGCACCAGCATGTGACAGCATGGGTGCAGTGTCCCTCCAATGAGGGCTTTTACTGAGCCAGCAGTCTGCTGAAGAAGGGTGTGTAGACAAAGGCAAAGGTTCAGAGTTCTGACCACAGCCCAGGTCATAGATGTCCTGGCAATGCACACAGAAGGGAGCTCAGCTACCCTCAGCAGTAAAGAGGCAAAAAAAGTGACATTATTTACTGATGCCATAATTTTTTGAAATATATTTTAAGCTTAAATAAAAGTAGTTATAGTGCACAGAGCTCCCATAAGCCCTTCACTCAGATTCTCTGATTGTTGACTTTTCTAAATCATTTGAGAATAAGTTGCAAAATGATGCCTCATTACCCCCATTATACTCTATGGTACATATTCTAAGTATCAGGACACTCTCTGACATAATTGCAGTACAACCATCAAAATTAGAAATTACCATTGACACGATATTACATCTAATCAATAGACTCCATTCAAATTCCACCTCTGCCTTCTGCATCGAATCTCATGTGTTGCATACATTTGTGGGGTCTCTCTAGTCTCCTTCAGTCTTCTCCTGTCCTTCACGACCTTGATATTTTTGAGGAGTACAGTCAAGCTACCTTACTAAATGTCTCTTAATTTGGGATTATCTGAGCTTCCTTATGATTTCTGCATTTTTGGTAGACATGCCACAGGAGTAATGCTACGTTTTTCTCTGTGCATTCCAGGAGACACACCCCATTCCTTTGTCCCAATGTTGGTGATGTCAGCTTTTGTCACTTGGTTAACATGGGGTCTATTAGGTTTCTCCATTGTAAAATTCATCAATAAGTAGGTGGTACTTACTAATTAATAATAGACAGATATTTTCAGAATATGCAAATATCCTGTTAGTTATCAAATTTTCTTTCATTCATTAGATTTAGCATCTATTGATGACTATTGCCTAAATCAATTATTGGCATGATGGTTGCAAAGTGGTAGTTTTTAAAATTATTTATTTGATTTCTTAGTTGGTATTCTATAGCTGGGTTGAGCTTCTTCTCCATTTGTTCACTAATTCATTTTCACACTCTTCTGGACTCATGGATTCCTGTGTTGCTCAAATGCTCACCACCCATCACTATCAGCACTTATTTTGATGCACACATTGCCACAGACTTGGCCAATGGGAGCTCCTTCAAGCTGGCTCATGTGTCCTTTTTTAAGACAGGGTTTCACCATGTTGGTCAGGCTGGTCTTGAACTCCCAGCCTCAGGTGATCCGCCCACCTTGGCCTCCAAAGTGCTTGGATTACAGGTGTGAGCCACCACACCCAGCCTCATGTGTCCTTTTGACATATCTTCAGGTCACCTGGGCAAAGTGCTTAACCTCAAAACCCTCAGGCTCCATATCTATAAAATAGGGATAATATTACTATCCACCTCATATGACTATTTTGAGGATCAGATGAAACAAATAAGCACATACAATGCTTCAGCACAGAGTCAGCACACACATTCAATAAAAGTTACAGCTATCATTAATAACAGGAATGACACACTCGCCTCTTAGAAATGGTCCTCTCAGGAGCCCCCGTGAGCAGAGTCATGTTCAAAAGTCAGCACAGGCCAAGAAAGAGAGAATGAGAATGGCTTTTCTCACCACAACACTCTGATGAATTTTGATTTTTTTATGCTTTTCTTCACTTTATCAAAAAACAGAAAGAGAGTGTAAACAAAGAGAAGCGTTTCTGTGCTGCTGTGAAAGTCCTTACCTCAAACGGAGCACAGGATTTGATTGGATAAAGGTAAAGGTTAGTGACAACATGTGCCCCAAGAGCCCCCTCCAGGACTCCTGCAGCTTTCTCTGAAGGAGTCTGCTGGATTCTGGTGACATCACATACAAGTGGGGCCACGGGCGCAGCATTCACAGCAGTGGGCGAGTTGTTCCAAACCCTGGAGCCTGTGAGGGCATCTTCCCGAGGCAAGAGGCTATGTCTGCGCATGACAGTAGGTGCAACATCAGCCTGGCCCTCTTCTGATGGGGCTCCAGCCTCCCAGGTGTCAGCACAGGCCTGAGGGACAGGCCAGCCTCCTGATGAGTGGAGGCAGGTATCTTTGATGAACCTGAGAAAGGCCTGGGCATCGTCAAGCGTTGACATATATCCAAATGAAATCCTCACAGATCCTGTGGGCTGCCCATCGATGAGGTCCATATTGTCCCCACAGACATGACCAGCCTAGGATAAGACAGAAATGCACCAGCCAGAGTGACCCATTTCTCATAGAGACATTGGAAACAGTTTTGCAAAATAAATTGTGTCAATTTGAAAATTAACCCAGGAAAACAGAGCTGCAACATTAACACCTGCTGTGTGTCTGAGACATGGTTCAGCTCTGTACACTCAGGGGACCGCTTTCTGGATCTCATTTTGCTCAACTGTAAATTGAGACCAATATCAATCTCAAAGAGGCCATTAAAAAATTTCATAGAAACACTTCATAGAAAGCATTTACCTAGAGCCAGGCACAGGGCTGGCTCACAGAGGGATCAAAACACAGACTAAAGTTTCAGAAGCACTGAGGGGTCAGCCTCAGGGTCTACCCGGAACTGAGATGGGAGAAACATCACTGGACACTCTCATGAGCCTGTCAGTACTGAAGGGAGGCCTGCATCCCTGAGAGCTACCCCTTGACAACAGGGAAAGTCAGAGATGCTGCCCCTGCAAATGACCAGCCCGGGGCCACTACGAAGGCCAAGGTCAGCTTGAGGGCCCCTGCTGGGAGGTGGGGAAGAAAGGCAGGAGAATCTCAGTCTCCGAGCCCAGCTGCCTGGTGTTGGTCACTGGTCAGCACAATGCATGGAGCCGCCCCGAACATCTCTTTGGTGCTGGATCCAGCTCAGTCACCCGAAGAAATGGAGACACAGCATTCCACAGGGCCAAATATTCTCTCTGGAGCTGTGTTTATTTGTGTCCTGAGCCTCCCTCTCTCTCTCTCCTCTTTTGTCCTCCCTCTCCTTCTCTCCTATCCCTCTTTCTTTTTAAACAAAACTCAGTTCATGGTTACTTGGGATCTAGTATATACAACATTCCAAGAATATACAATATTTCATGGCAACCAAATGAAATTCAAATTAGAAACTCAAAGCAATAAAGACTCTTTGCCATTTGAATTATTCCCAATGCAATGGTTTAAAACAGGCTATACCTTGAAGTGGAAAACCTCAGCCCAGGGGAGAGACGGGGAGAGGGGGGATTCTGGGAGATGCAGAATCCCTGGAGCCCAAGAAGAGTTCCACTCTGCACCCAAGCTGGATGCAGCTGGCTAACTGTAACCTGGAAGCTGGACCTCAGGAGGGCCGAACCAGGTAAGGCACATCCTTACACATCCCTTCTTAACTCCCCTCTCTTGCCTTTAAATGTTTGGCCTCAAAGTAAAAAACTAATCAGAAAGTCTGCGACAGAGATAATATCTTGAAGCTATTTTATTTTATTTTAGACAGAGTCTTGCTCTGTTGCCCAGGCTGGAATGCAATGGTGCTGTCTCCGCTTACTGCAACCCTCTGCCTCCCAGGCTCAAGCGATTCTCCTGCCTCAGCCTCCCAGGTAGCTGGAATTACAGGCACATGCCATCACGCCTGACTAATTTTTGTATCTTTAGTAGAGACAGGGTTTCACTGTGTTGGCCAGGCTGGTCTCGAACTCCTGACCTCAGGTGATCCGCCTGCCTCAGCCTCCCAAAGTACTGGGATTACAGGCATGAGCTGGCGCCCGGCCTTCTTGAAGCATTTTCTATTTGTATTCCTTTTCCTTCATACATGCACAGAGCAGGCATGGGGAAATGAGTCTGCAGCAGCCCCCACTCCAGACACGCATGCAGTAACAGGTGTCGCTGGGTCTCGCTGACCAGCATCTGGACCGCAGAACCCTGTACCCACCTGAAAATGCTTCCTGACCATCTCGCTGCTGATGCCGAGGTGCCTCTGGCAGGCTCCGGTGTTGCAGAAGCAACCAGTTCGCAGGTGGATGTTGTAAAGACTGGCCATTTTGTCCACCTGCAGATTTAATGTAACATGGAATGAGCTGTTACCAATGTGCAGTTTTACTCTGAGAGAGTTTTAGATTGGCATTTGGACCTCTCTTTCCTAATAATGAAATGAAGATACAAGCCTGGAATTGTCCTCTAAAATGCCACGATCTACCACAGGTTTGTTAAACACTGTATAAAATGTTTCAGTGAGGCTGGAGATAGTGGCTTCTTGGCATCAGCTGCATGGGTTTGGACCACAGGGCAGGCACCGTGAAGTGCTGTTCCAAGCAGCCCCGCCTCAGCTCGCAGCCTGGACTCCAAGTGTTACTGTGTCCATGCTGAGTGTGATTGATTTGCTTTTCTAACTTTCTCCAACTTTGGGTTTAATCACAGAATTGCTGTTCAGTCCAGCAGTTTCCACGGCTCTTTCCCGCCCTCTGGAGGCTCTGGGAAACGTTCGCATTCACATGAGACCTGGGGGATGTCTGCCCCTGCTCCTCCAGGCCTGAGTCAAGGACTCCATTCCCTCAAGGGCCTGGGGGCCCAGTGAGAGTCCTTGCCCTGGGGCTCAGGCTGACTTCACAGGAGGAGTCATTGAACTGCATTCAGGAAAACAAACACATCTTGCTCAGCTAGTTGAGCCTTTAAACTTTTCTCCCTGGGAAGTCACATATGGGGTGGCCAGAGGTCACTGTGCAGTCAGCCAGGGATCATGGCTGGACAACGATGCCTCCCACAGACCCTTATCAAGACCATGGCAGTCTTCACCTTGGCCACCCCCTCTGGTGTGTCGGTGAGAAGAAGCCGTTCTCTGTGTTGAACTGAGAGGCTTCAGATGAACAATTGTGTTTCTTCACTCTTGGCTAAGGGTCCACTGGCATGCAGACCTGCTAGTGAATTCAGGAGTTTCCCGGTTCTGTGAGGTGGGTCCTGGCCACTCTACTGGGCCCGGCCAACTCCATTCCAGGGTCAACTTTAGCATCACAAGGCAACCCTGGGGAGACACCCCTGACCCCCAGTCCAGCTGCCATTAGGCTGAATTAGAATCCCTGTGGCCCCCGTCACCCACTCCCCCATATTCACAACCAGTTACCTTTGTTGTGAAGCAGGCCACCCAAACTAGGGATAAGAAAACAACCACCATTTTATGGGGCTCATGGCTACAGTGTGGGAAGAATTCAAACAGGGCACGGAGGAGATATCTCCTCTCTGTCTTAAAATGTCTGGAGTCTCAGCTAGGAAGACTCAAAGGCTAGGAGTAGTTTGGCATCTGGGGGCTGGGATCATCTGGAGACTCCTTTACTCCTGGGTCTTTCTGGTCCCCAGGCTGGGAGGACTCCAGAATTAGTACTGCCAGCCACAGTCCTGAGCTTGGCTTCTCTGTGTGGCTTGGCATCCTTGCAGCATGCATGTCAGCTAAGGGCACAAGACAGTAACTGACAGGGTAATTCCAGGCTCCAAAGCTAGTGTCCCAGGGAACAAAGCCAACATGGCATTGCCTCTTCCGATCTAGCCTTAGAAGCCATGCAATGTCACCCTCCCGGCATCTGTTGGCTATGAGCGAGGCACAAATCAGCCCAGATTCTACAGGAAGACCCATGGATTGCCAGCCCTCCATGGAGGAGTATCAAGGAGGCATGGCAGGAGAGGATGTGAGCGGAAGACGCTGTTGCAGCCACATTTACCCTTTGTCCTAATTTCCCATTTATGCATCGGTCTCCTCTTGCCCTCAGTCCTGGGGAATCCCACACAGGCCCAGCCTGTGCCTAGCCAGGAGAAGGAGGTTGTTTGCTATGGCAGGATGAGCACAGCATTCAGGGAGGACCGAGAAACCGGCCCAGCCACAGTGCCCTGGAGGCTCCCAGCCCAGGAGCCTTTGTGCCCAACATTTATTGAGCACTTACTTTGTCCTGGGTCCTGTGCTAAGGGATGTACATATTGTATCTCATTTAATCCTCATATTAACACTATAACCAGGGCATATTGTTGTCCCCATTTCACAGAGTCTTGGAGAGCTTAACTTGCCCAAGATCACAGAGCCGGCAAGAAGCAGACAGACTGCAGAGTGACTTCCACCAGTAGGAGAATAAAATTAGAAGCCTGGATATACCAAAACAAGAACCCAAAGCCTTCTCGTAAGAAGCAAAATTCTTTACACATCCCCTGAAGAAAAAGAGACAGCCAAACCCAACTGATTTTTCCGAAGGCCACCAAAACCCCTATGGAAATTCCCATACCATGAAGTTCCCGAAACCTGAAAAAAATAAAACTGGACTTTCTTGAACTGGCCCAGTTCAGTTAGTCATGCCTTAGGCACAGAATCCATTCACACGGTGAGCTTCCTCTACCAATGTACAGAGGGAGAAACTTGTCCTGTGTCCAGCCCCAAGGAAAGAGAGTTCCCAGACATCTAGACAGACAGCCTCACGCCCTGTTGATTCCTCTTCCTGGAGGCTTCTTTTTCACCACCAATCCCATGCCCCTGCCACAGCATACACAGTACTTTTTTTTTTTTTTTTTTTTTTT